TATTTTGCAAAGGAGACGAGTTTCTCGTCTAAATTTAGGTTGGTTCGCAATCGTCGTTGGACAAAGACGGCGGATCAAGCGTAATAGTCGAGATTAGCCTTCTTCTTCGCCTGAACTTCGTTGATAGCTTCCATCAGATCCTCGTGCGTAACTGCCGTTGCGTCGCGTCTCAACGCGATCATACCCTGCGGAGAGAAAAGAATCGATGAGTCGGTCCGTCGATGATGGTTAGCGCGAGAGAAATGGGAACGTACGGCTTCGACGCAAACGGCTTTACACTGGGCACCGTTGAAGTCGTCGGTCGATCTGGACAATTCCTCGAAGTTAACGTCCGGAGACACGTTCATCTTTCGCGAGTGAATTTGCATGATGCGAGCTCTGGCTTCCTCGTTGGGATGCGGGAATTCGATCTTTCTGTCCAAACGACCGGATCTGAGCAAGGCTGGATCCAAGATGTCGACCCTGTTGGTAGCCGCAATGACCTTGATATCGGCGGTAGAGCTGAATCCGTCGAGTTGATTCAACAGTTCCAACATGGTACGTTGCACCTCTCTGTCGCCGGCTTTCTCGGAATCGAATCGTTTGGTTCCGATCGCGTCCAACTCGTCTATGAAGATGATGGCGGGTGCTTTCTCCTTGGCGAGAGAGAAGGCGTCTCTGACCAATTTGGCGCCGTCTCCGATGAACATCTGAACGAGTTGGGGCCCGGCGAGTTTCAAGAAGGTAGACTTGGTTTGGGCGGCGCAGGCTCTGGCCAACAGAGTCTTACCGGTTCCCGGTGGTCCGTAGAGGAGGACGCCTTTGGGAGGTTGAACGCCGAGATTTTCAAACTTCTCCTTGTGCGTCATGGGGAGGACGACGGCTTCTATGAGTTCTTGAATCTGCTTGTCCAAGCCGCCGATGTCCGAGTACTGCTCGGTGGGTCTCTCGTCGACCTCCATAGCCTTGACTCTGGCGTCGTACTCGGCGGGGAGGGTTTCCAGGACGAGGTAGCTGTCTTTGTTGACACCGACCAAGTCGCCGGGTTTGAGAGCCTCGGCGTCGACCAATCCGATCACGGGTAGGAAGTAGGTCTGACGAGTGGAGGTTTTGATGACGGCGCATTTGCCTTTCCTCTGGGCGTCCAAGTCGACGACCGCGCCGTCTTCCTCGCCCATGTTTTGAGGGTCGACGTCGAGCAACTCTATGACGTTGGACACCAAGTACGGGAGAGTTTTGTTGACCTTGATCTTCTCGGTGTTCTCCTTGATCTTGTCGTTTTGCGCCTGAAGCTCGTGAGAGATGCGCATGACCTCGCTCTTCATGATTTTTATCTCGTTGTCGAGGAGACGCGTGCGCGACACGATCTCGTCGGTGGACATTCTCCAGACGTCTTCGCCGAGAGGTTGCTGGAAGAAGGAAGACAGAGTGAGAGACGAGTTTGGAAAGGTGCTCGTCACGGCACCCTAACCTATACGCGACGCGCGTTACCTCTCCGTCTTCCCAGAGAGACTTGTCCTCGAGAGTAGCCATGGGTGGTCGGAGAGAGGCGGTTGGCGGAAGATGGCCGGGGCGAAGGACGACGCAAAGCGAGCGATTTCAGCGTGCGAGGTTCGCGGGTGTGTCCGGTGCGTAAACGTGGTCGAGCGACGCGTCGGTTGGGACGTTTGGCCGCTGGGGGACGCTGGCGCGGGAGAATCGGCGGCCGATGGGAAGCGGGTTGGTCGGTAGAGTCGATATTTTTCGCGATTGGTGGAGGCGGAGGTACGTAGGTTTCGGCGATGGTTGTTTTCGCGACGGGTGGTAGTATCAGCGGGAAATGAACGTTTCGTTGTTGATTTGGAGTTTGGTAAATTAACGCGAAAAACGCGAAGTATGGGAGTTGGATATACGGTTGAGGAAGCGCACGTTGTTGATTTTGTATGTTTTTTGGTAATGGGTGGTTGTATTTACGTAATGTTTTCTCGTTAATTTGGA